CGCATGACGTCAGTACCTTTAAAAAATTTACTGAGGGGGAGGTTTCACATTACTCGGTAACCGTGACAGATGTTTTATTCCATCTTATGGTTTGCAACAATTAAAATAATATATATTTAAGGGGGTTAAAAGTGCAGGGGACTTGTCCCCCAGGATCGACACCTATGGTAATTGTCATGACTTATGAACGTGAATACTACATTAGCAGATAAACGTATCATGTTTCTGTGACTTTTCAACTTAACACCACAATAGAAAGTCAACGTAGTTGTGATTTCGTGACGTTTCAATGTGACAACACTACAAAGTCAACGTAGTTGTCATGATTCTGTGACTTCTCAATTTCACAAAACACTAAAACGTCAACGTAGTTGTCACGATTCTATGACTATTCAACATAACACCACTAGCAAGCACAAATGTGGATAGTAAACTTTTAATACCTTGTTACAGAAGCTTGCCTACACATACCACAACCTTAACACAAAAATCAAAGGGAATGATTTCCACTTTAAAACATCACAGTCATTACTCCAAACTATTAGGCTAGGACTATTAGGTTAAAACTTTTAAACCCCATTATTAATACAACTTAAAATTATAATACTGTGATCTAATGGTCAATTTGTGGTAAAATAATAAAACTAAATATTTTACTTATAAAGCCATAACTTACAACAAAAAATGTTTTGTTTTTAAAAGTAGTAACTGTCATTGTTTTACAAAACAAATATAACTAGAAATATGTTAATATTATAGTATCTTGGAAAAGTGGTAAAGTTAAATAAGCAGACAGACAACAAACAAACAGAACACCATGACCATAAACACAGTAGCTAGTTGGTTCCCAAATCAAATAATAGCTTAATGTACATAAAATTAAACTTAAAAGAATTACCATATTTTAAAAGGTCTTCTCACTCAAGTTGCAACATGTTTCAGATTGGATTGTTGAAATATTTATTAACAGTGTAGTAATTTTCATAAGAAAATTACAACCTAATCCTAAAAGACTGGAAGGATGGTTGGAATTTAAAAGAGTATTTCTATCAGTAATGAACTGGGAAACTCAAAGTACTAAATGTAATAGTTTTTACTAGATTTATTACAGAAAAGTTTAGTTGTACAATGAAAGTCAGTTTTCAATCAACACAAAAAGAAATGGGAAAGAAGAGTGAACACAGTCATCTTCATTCAAGTTGATGAAAGATGTAATAACATCAGAAACGTTATATTTGAAACAGGGCAAGGGTAACAGGGAGGAAGCTTTTCCTCCTTGAAATGCCCCCCCCCCAAAGCTAATATTAGCCATTAATCTAATTTTAGATATATTTTACTTTTGGCCCAATTACATGTATCACTTGACATTTCTTTAACCCTGAAATGACAACGTGGGGTCACTGGCATTCTAGGGTTAAAACCTCAAATAACTTTGTATTTCACACAAAGAATTGTTACGACAGAAGAGGTCACTTGACGCTAGTAACACGCCACGCGCTTCTAGAACGTTCATGAAGCGTCGGGAGACTACTAGATATG